TTTTATCCGTTCTAACCCGACCGCGCAGCAATTTCACGGAGTGCCCACAAGGAGTTCTTGTCTTGTGAGAAAGGGAGAAAAGTACCTCTTTCTCTACCTGCTCTTTCCCATGCATAATCTTATAAACCTCAATCATGTCATCCTTCCTGAGCTAAGGGAAAAATGTGTGAGCCGGAGGCTAAAGAACTGTGAGCTAGCTATTTCATGGAGTGCCCACAAGGAGTTCTTGTCTTGTGAGAAAGGGAGAAAAGTACCTCTTTCTCTACCTGCTCTTTCCCATGCATAATCTTATAAACCTCAATCATGTCATCCTTCCTGAGCTAAGGGAAAAATGTGTGAGCCGGAGGCTAAAGAACTGTGAGCTAGCTCACACGGACTCAGCTTAGAGGGAACAGTGCTGAGGAGTATGGGACTCTTCAGTTTAGAAAAGAGGTGGCTAAGGGGGAACACAATAGAGGCTCATAAAAACATGCTCGGGGTGGAGAGAGCGGGCGAAGAGAACTTTCCCTCCATCTCCTGAAATACTGGAACTCCAGGGCATCCAGTGAAGCTGATGGACAAGTAGATTCAGGACATACTTTTTTACACACAGAGTGCTTAAAATGTGGAATTCGCTGCCAGAGGCTGTGATGATGGCCACAGGGATAAACAGCTTTAAAAGGGGGGATTCAACAGGTTCATGGAGGGAGGGGTCTATTAGTGGCTTACTAGCCTTGGTGAATAAAGGGAACTTCCATCGTCAGAGACAGTAGGCCTCTGAATCCCAGAGCCAGGAGGCAATATCAGGGGAAGGGCCCCTGTCTCTCTGCCCTGTTGTGGGCCCTCCAGAGGAACTGGTTGGCTGCTGTATGAGGCAGGATGTTGGACGAGATGGACCACTGGTCTGATCCAGCAGGGCTCTTCTGATGTTCTTATGAAGGCCCTGGCCTCCACGCCCTGTTCTTGGCCCTCCAGAGGAACTGGCTGGCCCCTGTGTGAGACGGGAGGCTGGACTAGATGGACCCTCACTGCTCTGACCCAGCAAGACAGCCTCCATGCCCTGTTGTTGGCCCTCCAGAGGAACTGGTTGGCCGCCGTATGAGGCAGGATGTTGGACTAGATGGACCCTCACTGGTCTGATCCAACAGGGCTCTTCTGATGTTCTTATGAAGGCCTCAGCCTCCACGCCCTGTTGTTGGCCCTCCAGAGGAACTGGTTGGCCGCCGTATGAGGCAGGATGTTGGACTAGATGGACCCTCACTGGTCTGATCCAACAGGGCTCTTCTGATGTTCTTATGAAGGCCTCAGTCTCCACGCCCTGTTGTTGGCCCTCCAGAGGAACTGGTTGGCCGCCGTATGAGGCAGGATGTTGGACTAGATGGACCCTCACTGGTCTGATCCAACAGGGCTCTTCTGATGTTCTTACGAAGGCCTCAGCCTCCACGCCCTGTTGTTGGCCCTCCAGAGGAACTGGTTGGCCACCGTATGAGGCAGGATGTTGGACTAGATGGACCACTGGTCTGATCCATCAGGGCTTTTTTACACTTTTTATAGCGGTAGTCCACTTCTGCGTACTCTTGGGGCCCAGATCCTTCACCCAGTACAGAAATCACCCAGTGCCCTTACACAGCACTTGTTCACTGCTACCTGTTCTGTATGGTTCGATCTCTCCCACGCCTCATAAGGACATCACACCGCAGTTGTGTGCCTCATACACACTAAGATGACCACCTCTAGACAGTAGCACCTTGGAGACCAACAACATTTCCAGGGCATGAGCTTTCGAAAGTCCAAGTTAACTTCATCAGATACAAGTAGGAATGGAGATCCCGTCTATCCCATCTTAGGCGGAATCAGCTTGAAGTTGTGTGTTCTGATGCTGGGCGAATTGGGGGTTGCCGGTCCCCTGTCACGGGAGGTGTGGATGTGCCTTTGCTTCTCCCAAACCATCTGGGGAAAGAGGAAAAGTGTTCATTGCCTGTCACTGATGGGGGAAGCTTTCTCTCCAAACAGGGCTGTGTCCTGACTGGGATTCGTGGGATGCGAGCAAACCCGTCAACAATGCCCGGGAGGCTATGCAACAGGCCGACGACTGGTTGGGCATCCCACAGGTAAGCGGTAACATTTGGGGAATTGCTCCGCTCTAAGGCAGTGCTGCCAACCTAGCAGTTCGAAAGCAAGACATTGCAAGTAGATAAATAGGTACCACCTCAGTGGGAAGGGAACAGCGTTCCGTGCGCCTTGGTGTTTAGTCGTCACTGCAATCCTAGAGTCGGATTCGACTGGCTTTCGAGCAGGGGAACCTTTACCTTTAAGGCAGTGCAAAATGTCATCCTGAGAGTCTGAATTCATAAGCGTGTCCAAATGTTGCAAATGGAGAAGGCTGGGGGTGGGTTTGAGAGGAATGTTATCTTCTTCCACTCGTGAAATGATGCAGGGTGCTGAAATGTTGTCCCTTGGCTTCTGACAATCCGTTCAGGTAGGCACGGAATGCTAGGTGCGGACATATTTATAATTTTGTCCCTTGGCTTTTAATAATCCTGCGGCGTTCCTTTGCCATTCAGATAGGCACAGAATGCTTGGCCCAGACATATGTTTAAAAGTTGTTTGTGTGTGTGTGTGTGTGTGTGTGTATGTATGTATGTGCTTGTGTGCCTGGAAGTCATGGTGACTTCTGGCAGCTCCTACTAGGGCTTGGACATTTTTCAGAGAGGTGGCTTGATATGCCTGCCTCTGTGTCCTGGTCCTGGTATTCCTTCGTTGGTCTCCTTTGGAGAGCCGGTTTGGTGTAGTGGTTAGGAGCAGAGACTCTAACCTGGGAGAACCGGGTTTCATCCCCCACTCCTCCACATGCAGCTGCTGGTGTGACCTTGGGTCAGTCACAAGTTCTCTCAGAGCTGTTCTCTCAAGAGCAGTCCTCGTAAGTACTCTCTCAGCCCCACCTGCCTCACAGGGTGTCAGTTGTGGGGAAGGGAAAAGGAGATTGTAAGCCGCTCTGAGACTTTGAACGAAGGGCGGGGGTATAGATCCAATCTTTTCCAAGAATCATTGTGATTGAACAACCAAACTTTTCTAGAGAACTTCCCAGACAAAACTACTAGAGAGCTTCCTTCTGAATGGAACACGCTCTTCTCCTGCTGTAGATTCTTCGGTGGGGTTTAGCGTGCTAAAAACAGGAAACTGAAACAGGAGGAGATCTGTGGCTACCAGTCGGGTCGCTGGATTCTTTTTGAATGAACTTTGATCATCATACGGCTGAGACATGTTGAAGTATTATTATATCTCAGAATTTATTGTTCGTGAGAATCTCTTCTCAAGGAGGTTGTGTACAATAGAGAGTAACTACAGAATACTGGATTGTAACGATACCCCATAAATACCGTGTTACAATTTATTATAGTGAGGATTTCTGTTAGAAAATCGGTTACATAGTTGCAAGTTCCTCAAATATATGGTGAAAACTTGGTAATTAGAATGGTTAATGTAATGTCTGCATCGGATACATGTATACTTTTTGATCGCATACATTAAGGTTTTATTCATCGCGGTGCGTGTTGTTCTTTTGTGATGTTCTGGGGTAATGCGTCCTGTGTCAACACATTTCTCTCTCTGCTGCTGGAATCTGTGTGGGTCTTAGGTGATCACCCCGGAAGAGATTGTGGACCCCAATGTGGACGAGCACTCGGTCATGACATACCTCTCTCAGTTCCCCAAAGCCAAGCTAAAGCCCGGAGCCCCCCTCCGGCCCAAGCTGAACCCCAAGAAAGCCAGAGCTTATGGACCAGGTGAGTCCAGGACTAGAAGCCGAGAACTTGGTACTCCCTGATTTGTTTTCAGGAATCGAGAGGCCCACTGCAGAGGGAAGCAGGTGATGTCTGCTCTGTAAGGGGGGGCATTAGGGCTCAGGTGTGTGAATGGTTTTCTGGAAAGTGTTTTCAAGCATTGCTTGACATGGAAACGACACTTGGTTACTCTGTGATTGACTTTCTCATGCCACCTTGTATGCTAATATTGTGTATTATTTACAAAAATTGTATCCCGCCTTGAAGCCCTTCCAAGGGCCACCAAGGTGGCGAACAGTTTAAAACGTATGTGACAGAATCACATTTTAAGACCAAGCACACATCACTGAAACAATTTTTAAAAAGAGTTAAAAGACATAAAAAAACATAAAAACTGCCATTAAAATATTGGTTAGGAAGGAAGGGACCACTGAGGGAATGCAGAGGGAAACAATCACTGAGGGAAAAGGAGGGATCACTGAGGGAATGTTGAGGGAAACAGAATCACTGAGGGAATGTTGTGGGAAACAGAATCACTGAGGGAATGTTGAGATCACTGAGGGAATGCTGAGGAAAGCAGAATCAGAGGAAAGGAGGGATCACCAAGGGAATGCTGAGGAAAACCAAATCACTGAGGGAATGCAGAGGGAAACAGAATCGCTGAGGGAAAGGAGGGATCACTGAGGGAATGCTGAGGAAAACAGAATGCTGAAGAAAACAGGAAACCAGGGAGGCCAGGCTAGCTGCTACTATGGCCGGGGCCTTTTCCGTGGCGGCCCCTACCTGGTGGAACAAGCTCCCGGAGGAGATTAGGGCCCTGCGGGACCTCTCACAGTTCCGCAGGGCCTGCAAGACAGAGCTCTTCCACCAGGCATACAATTAGGGGCCGCCGCCCTAGTGCACGGCCCGTAATGTTAACATCAAGCAGCCGCCTCAAGAACGAGCAGAATGACATCTAAACACTTAATGTGGAATAACATCGAAGCACTTTGTTGGAAAGCACTTTATTCGTTTGATTTTTAACTGCCGCCAGTATTCTGATATTTTGTAATGTACTATTTTAAATGCTGTGTCTTAATGCTGTATTATTTATGTGTTTATTTTGTATCCTTGTGTTTGTTGTCGGAAGCCGCCCTGAACCTGCTTTGTGGGGAGGGCGAGGTATACATTTGGTTATAAATAAATAAATAAATCAGAGGAAAGGAGGGATCACTGAGGGAATGCTGAGGAAAACAAAATCACTGAGGGAAGAAACAAAAAAAAAGTCTTTGACCGCTGGTAGAAGATGGCAACAGAAAGGCATGGATGAATATCCTTGGGAAGAGAGTTTGGTGCCATGACCGAGAAGGTCCTCTCCAGGGTTGCCAGCTGCCTAAATGCAGGAGACAGACACCTGAAGCAGGGCCTCCAGGGACATCCATGTTGGTGAGGCAAATTCATAAGGGAATAGGCAGTCCTTCAGGTGCACTGGTCTCAAACCGTATAGGGCTTAGCATGGTCTTGTCACGCAGGACTTTGAACTCCTTCTCGGTCCCCAATGAAACGGATGCTTTGACAACTGCTGGAGTAGGCATTAGCTCTCGATCTAACCGTTTGCCTTGATCTGTAACACATCTGCCAGGCAGGCCTCGTGTAATCCCCACACTGCAAACGTGGGGTTATGTGTGTTTTGCCTAAAGCGAGCTCTCCAGTTGTGGGCATGGCTTGGCTTCTGGTCACTGTGCTTATCACCGGCTTCTGGGTGTCGGTGGCCCAGAGAACCATGTGGTCACTTTTATCTCTACGGTGTCCCTCAGGGATTGAGCCCACTGGAAACATGGTGAAGAAGAAGGCTGAGTTCACAGTGGAAACCATCAGTGCTGGCCAGGGAGAGGTGCTGGTCTATGTGGAGGATCCTGCTGGACATCGGGAAGAGGTACTCGGCTGTGGAAAGCACAGAGGAGAGAAGGGTGGCCGGCTAGACCAGGGGTCCCCAACCTTTTTGAGCCCCTTTGGAATTTCGATACAGTGTCTCAGACTCAGGAGAGCTGCTGCCAGTCTGAGTAGGCAATACTGACTTCAATGGACCCAAGGGTCTGATTTAGTGGGGGCTGCAGCCACAAAATGGCTGCTGCAGGAGGCTGGGACAGCCTCGAAATGGCCGCCGCAGCTCACCTTCAGCCACATCTTCGTTATGTGGCGGCAGCTGCCGCCCAAGCAACATATTTAAAAGTCGGCACACCCAATCAGATCACCAGTGTTCGATCAGAAGTGTTTGCTGGGCCAAAGCCTCATCTGGCCTTGCCCACTTTCTTGGCGGGCGGGCAGCAGGAAAGGTGTCCACAGGTGCGATGGCGTCCCCAGACACCACGTTGGAGACCCCTGGGCTGGAGATTGTGTGTGAGAACCGAGGGGCCTGCACCTTAGCGCTCTCTCTCTCTCTCTCTTTCTGAAGGCCAAGGTCATTGCCAACAACGACAAGAATCGGACGTTCTCGGTGTGGTACGTGCCGAAGGTGACGGGTGTTCACAAGGTAAGCCTCTGGCAGAAAGAAGGTTCTAGAATTGAGCCTCGGATTGAGCACCAGCCACTGTCTTGAATTGAGCACCAACCACTGTCTTCTCTCTCTCTTTCTATCCCTCCCACCTTTCAGGTGACCGTCCTGTTTGCTGGGCAGCACATTGCCAAAAGTCCCTTTGAGGTGAACGTCGACAAGTCTCACGCAGACGCCAGCAAGGTCACCGCCCAAGGCCCCGGCCTGGAGCCCTCCGGGAATATCGCAAACAAGACCACCTATTTCGAGATCTTCACTGCCGGTCAGTGCAGGGACTGAGGTGTTCTGAGGGTGATGGGCCCATGCTAGGGTTGTCAGGAGCATGTCTGCCGCTAGCCCCCCGACCCCTTCTGCCGCTTGATAGGCCAAAGGGGAGTGAGATAAGGCTAAAATAGCCATCGCTTAATCTATTTCGGGGGGGGGGGACCAAGAAAGGAAAAAACAAAATGTTTTTGCCTCCTCCTGGCTGAATGAGGGCCGGAAGCGGGGCGGCCGGAAGCAGAGGGCGGGGCTTCATCGTGTGCCCCGCCCCCCGCACCTCACCGGGGGAACTGCGATCCCCCGCGTTCCCCCCCGAAATGACCTCTGGATGTCGCCATAAATTGGTGTCAGCTTCATGGCATTTTTTGCACACGTGCACGTGTACCATTCCTGTGTTTCACTTGCGTCCAAGGCGGAGTTGAAATTCGAACCTGGTTCAGGGCGGTCCGCGGTTGCTTCAACAGCTCTGTCTCGCTGGCCTCTAATCAGGGTGTGGTTCGAAGAATACCTTCTTAAACTCCCATCTTCAGATACCTAGTGGCTTATCTGTGGCTGATCTTCATGCTTCTTCTTTTTTGTACAGCCTATTGTAGTCTGTGTGGAAAGGGAAAGCATACGGTTTAAGTGTCTTCAGCAGAAGTAAACGTTTCTGTGTTTGTCTCCGAGCCCACGTGGGTGGACCACTTTTGAGTGCCATAACTTGTCGGGGGTTCTCAGCTGCGCTAAGCTTATTGAGTTTGGCAGGCTGTGAGGTTTAAACAATGAAGCAATGTACACAACGGTGCGCCGATTGGAATCTGCCCGTCCCCGATAACTTCTAGTCCGTCCAGGAATGTCGGTTTCCATAGGAACTGGTTTTTCTTACCTGGCTTCCACCCGCTCTTCTCCCTTCAGGCTAGAGGCGATTTCCTCGTCCAGTAGCACTTAGCAAGACAATTGCTTTCTTGTCTGGCTGCTCTCAGTGTCTTAAGCCTTCTTTGTGCGCCGAGGGGGGTGAAGACCAAGACCGAAAGTGGATTGTTCCTTCTGCCTTAATCCCCTCCCAAAACCTGCCTGGTGCCTAACAGACCATGACTTGCATCCTAAGGGCCCTCTTCCAATTAAAAAATCGCGACTTTGACTGTGAGCCAGCTGGGAAAGCAGGTTTTCAAAGCTGACGAGCTGTTTTAAAAAGAAGAATTGCAAGTTGGAACTTCTCAGGCTGTTCTAAACAGTTGCCAATTTCCAGGTGATGGCTGGAGAGCTCCTGCTGTTACGGCTGGTCTCCGGACAACAGAGATCTATTCTCTTCCACTTTAGAAGCTGGACTCTGTGGCATTATACACCATTATAATCTTTTCCCTCCCAAAACCCCACCCTCCTCAGGCTCTAGGGTTGCCAAGTGTCACTTACTTCTTCCGCGGGGGACTCCCGGGTGGCTCTCGGAGCGCGCGCGCCACATGCACATCACCAGGAAGTGACGTTATGGCGCCGGGCACGCTGGGGGTGGGGCCACCGCGACCATACAAGGGAAAACCATAGAGTTTTCCCTTGGATGGCTGTGGCCCCGCCCCCAGTGTGCCCACGTCACTTCCTGGTGACGCGCACGTCGGGGAGGAGTCCCCCCGGGGCCGATCCGGTGGAGCAGGGGAACGGGCCTCTGGGGCAGGGGTTTCCCCGCCCCCCGGGGGGACTTGGGATCCCTATCAGGCTCCGCCCCCAAAATCTAGCCGTCAGTGTTCCCTCTAAGCTGAGTTAATGTGAGCTAGCTCACAGTTTTTTAGCTCAGGAAGGGATGGCTCCATAGCAAACTCAATTGTGCAGCAGCCAAAATCGCTCGATTACCACTTTAATGCCAGTCGCTCACGAAGTAGAAGCTTTGCTCACAGGTCTCCACGGCTTAGAGGGAAGCCTCGCTAGCCGTTCTTGAAAGTCAAATGACTAGTTGTTCGGCAAGACTAGCTTGGCTGATTATTTAGAATAGCATATTTACATATCTGAAGAGTTCCATAAGCGTGGAATGTAGCGACACGGCACAAACATGGTTGGGGCTGTCGGGTCACCAGCCACAGGGTCGCAAGGCTCCCTCTACGCTGTGCGGTCCTGTGAGCAAAAATTCTACTTTGCGAGCTCCTGGCATTCAAGTTGTGAGCGAGCGATTTGGCAGCTGCATCAATCAGTTTGCTCTGGAGCCCTCCTTCCTGAGCTGAGACGAAAATGTGTGAGCCGGAGGTTAAAAAACTGTGAGCTCAGCATAGAGGGAACACTGGGGTGGGGTTTGGAGTCCTCCTAGGATTACAACTGACCTCTAGCCTGCGCGGGTCAGTTCTCCCAGAGGAAATGGTTGCTTCGGAGGGGTGGACTCTATGCCTTCACATCCCTGCTTAGCGCGCTTCAGATCATAGAGTCATAGAATGTTAGAGTTGGAAGAGACCTTGCAGGTCATCTAGTCCAACCCCTGCACTCTGCAGGAGCACAGCCGAAAGGTAGCCCTACGTACCTACAACAGACCCAAAAGATGGTTGTCCAGCCTCCGCTTGAAAACGTCCAGCGAAGGAGCATCCACCACCTCCGGAGGTAGACTGTTCCACTGCTCAGCCACTCTTACAGTTAGGACATTTTTCCTGATATTTAGCCGGTATCAACTCCCTTGTAATTTCCACCCATTAGATCTAGTATTGCAATCCGGAGCAAGAGAGAATAGACCTGCTCCGTCTTCTACATGACAGACTTTCAGATACTTGAAGACTGCAATCGTGTCCCCTCTAAGCCTTCTCTTTCCCAGGCTAAACAGACCCAACTCTTTCAGCCTTTCCTCATCTCCAGGAGTTTCTCGAGCGGGAGTTAGCAACCTTTTTTCAAAGTGAGAAAAGCTCAGCTCTTGTTGTTGTTGTTCAGTCGCACAGTCGAGTCCGACTCTTCGCGACCCCATGGACCATCTCCCGCCAGCCCCTCCTGTCTTCCGCAGTCCTCCGTAGTTGGCTCAATTTCATGTTCGTTGCATCGATGACACTGTCTAACCATCTCATCCTTTGCCGTCCCCGTCTTCTTTGACCTTCAGTCTTTCCCAGCATCAGGGTCTTCTCCAGTGAGTGCTCCCTTCTCATTTGGTGGCCAAAGTATTTGAGCTTCAGTTTCATTATCTGGCCTTCCAGGGAACAGTCAGGGTTGATTTCTTTGAGGATTGACTGATTTGTTCTTCTTGCAGTCCAAGGGACTCTCAAGAGTCTCCTCCAGCACCATAGTTCAAAAGAATCTATTCTTCGGCGCTCGGCCTTCCTTATAGTCCAACTCTCACAGCCATACATGACTACTGGGAATACCATTGCTTTGACCATGCGGACTTTTGTTGGCAGGGTGATGTCTCTACTTTTTATCATGCTGTTTAGGTTCGCCATCGCTTTCCTCCCAAGGAGCAGGCGTCTTTTAATTTCATGGCTGCAGTCACAGTCTGCGGTGATCTGGGATCCCAGGAACGTGAAGTCTGTCACTACTTCCACAGCTTCCCCTTCTATTTGCCAAGGAGTGATGGGGCCGGATGCCATGATCTTAGTTTTTTTGATGTTGAGCTTCAAGCCCACTTTTGCGCTCTCCTCTTTTACCCTGAGCAAGAGGCTCTTTAGGTCCTCTTCACTTTCTGCCATTAGAGTGGTATCGTCTGCATATCTGAGGTTGTTGATCTTTTCCCCAGCAATCTTAATTCCCGCTTGTGATTCATCCAGGCCAGCATTTCGCATGATGTACTCTGCATATATATTAAATAAGCAAGGCGACAATATACATCCTTGTCGTACTCCTTTTCCTATGCTGAACCAATCAGTTGTTCCATATCCGGTTCTAACTGTCGCTTCTTGGCCCTTATACAGGTTTCTCAAGAGACATGTGAGGTGGTCTGGTACTCCCATCTCTTTAAGGACCTGCCATAGTTTGTTGTGATCCACACAGTCAAAAGCTTTAGCATAGTCAATGAAGCAGAAGTAGATATTTTTCTGGTACTCTCTTGCTTTCTCCATAATCCAGCGAATGTTGGCAATTTGATCTCTAGTTCCTCTACCTCTTCGAAACCCAGCTTGTACTTCTGGTAGTTCTCTATCCACGTACTGTTGAAGCCTAGCTTGTAGGATCTTGAGCATGACCTTGCTAGCGTGTGATATGAGTGCAATTGTGCGATAGTTTGAACATTCCTTGGCGTTGCCCTTCTTTGGGATTGGAATGTATACTGATCTTTTCCAATCCTGTGGCCACTGTTGCGTTTTCCAAATTTGCTGGCAAATTGAGTGCAGCACTTTAACAGCATCATCTTTTAAGACTTTGAATAGCTCAGCTGGAATACCATCACCTCCACTAGCTTTGTTGTTAGTAATGCTTTCTAAGGCCCATTTAACTTCACATTCCAGGATGTCTGGCTCGAGGTCAGTGATTATACCGTGGTTGTCAAGGACATGAGGTCTTTCTTGTATAGCTCTGCCTCTGTGCTAATTAAGCAGTTTGAGCGAAATTGGCCTCGTGGCTTATTCGGGGGTCCAGCCTGGCACATGTTGTGTGGCATTAAAGACAACAACTGTGCCATGAATTTCTGTGCGGTTGAGCATGCGGGATTTCTTGCAAAGAGGTGAGAGAAATATAAAAAAACGATATGCTAAATGGTGAATGCTGCTTTCTTTGCCGTCTCCATAACTTATCGTTTTCCTGAGGGTAGCTGAGTTGGGTCTGTGTTAGAACAGTTAGATTTGTGGTGGCTCAGAGGTGCAAGACGCTGAGCTGCAGACAGGAAGGTCTGTAGTCCGGCAGTTCGAGACCCGAGTGCCCAACCTAGCAGTTCGAAAGCAAGAAACTGCAAGTAGATAAATAGGCACCACTTCAAATGGGAAGGTAACAGCGTTCAGTGCGCCTTGGCATTGAGTCATGCCGGCCACATGACCACGGAAATGTCTTCGGACAGCGCTGGCTCTTCGGCTTGGAAATGGAGATGAGCACTGCCCCCTAGATTCAGATTCGACTGGCTTTCGAGCAAAGGAAACCTTTACCTTTAGCTCCTTAAAGACCAGCATGAGAACGTAAGAGAAGCCATGTTGGATCAGGCCAGTGGCCCACCCAGTCCAACACTGTGTCACACAGGGGCCAAAATCCGGGGGGGGGGGGGTCGCAAAGGGGAAAAGAAGACCGCCCCTGACTTAAAACGTCTTCCCGATCGTTCCCGATCAGAAGCTCACTGTGTCGACAAATCCCAAAGGTTGCACAAGAGCCTAACCTGCGATGCTAGTGCCTTTTTAAAAACAACAACAACACCACCTACTTTTCCCTGCATCAGGTGCCGGCGTCGGGGAAGTCGAGGTCGTCATCCAAGATCCCAGCGGCCGGAAAGGGACGGTCGAGCAGCAGCTGGAGGACAAAGGCAACAGCACCTACCGTTGCACCTACAAGCCCACCCTGGAGGGGACGTACACCATCTACATCACCTTTGGGGGCGTGCCCATCCCCCGCAGCCCTTACACGGTCACGGTGGGCCAGGGTAAGCGGCCCGGCCTCGTCGGCGGGGCTCCTTTGTCCTTCGGTGTCTCTGCTTGGGTCTCTCCTTCACGGCCGGAAGTGGGGCGGGTGCTCTGTCCTGCGCTAACCTCTGTCCTCTCCGCCTGCCTACCTCTTATCCTGGCCAGCTCTCCTCTGCTCTGTTCTCCTCCTCCTCTCTGAAGAGGCATCTCCCTGGATCTCTGCTGCCATCTCAGCTGCTGCGCGCCTGGACTCTCGGGGCTAATGGTACTTCTCTCTGTAGGCAAGGGTGGGGCGGGAGGAGGGTTGCCAGGTACCGGGCAGCCGGGGAGGGAGGGGGAGGGATTCTCCAGGAGTGGGAGGGAGGCCCAGGCGACGTCGCCGGGGATGTGGTGACATCACTTCCGGTGCGTACGGGAAGTGACATCATCGTGTCGTGATGCTGGGGGCGACGCTCTGGCCTTTGGGCGAAACGTCTGTGGTAAAAAATGGCTTCCATCGTAGAGTTTCCCCCCAAATCCCAAAGCGTCGCCCAGACATCGCCTACATCAGGGGTGGCCAAGCTTGCTTTAACGTAAGAGCCACACAGAATAAACGTCAGATGTTAGAGAGCTGCAGGACACGTACACATATTACGCACACGTTTTTATTGGGAAATATGCAGATTTGGGTTTTCCCCCCCCAATGAGACTGCCAAAAATGAAAACAGAAGAGGTAAAAGCAGATAGTGATAATGATATTTATTAGTCCAGTGATATTTGTTTGCTAAAGATATTTGTTTCTCTAAGAGGGAGAAAGAGAGAGGTGGAAAGAAAGAATGAAAGAGGAGGAAAGAAAGAGAGAGATAAAGCAAATAGATGGGGGAGGGGAGGAAGGAAGGAAGGGAGACAGAAAGAAAGAGAGCAAATAGATAAAGAGCCTGCCCGGGGCCGCACACTATGTGTGAAAGAGCCGCATGTGCCTCCCGAGTCAGTTTGGCCATCCCTGGCCCACGTGGTGATGTCACTTCCTGTCCACGCCCACATGGTGATGTCACTTCCCATCCACGCCCACATGGTGATGTCACTTCCTGTCCGTGTTGCAGGTGACGAAGCCTGGTCCATCCTCTTTCCTGGGGTCCCCCCACTGCTGAGCGAGTGGGGGTGGGGACTCCTGCCTCCACAGGGCTCTGGCAACCCCAGGCGGGGGAGATCTGTGGCAAGAGGGTGGGGCCTGTCCATTTCACCCCACCCTGTGGAGGGGGAAGCTCCCGGGTTTCCGATCCCGCCTGACTTTTCGACGCCCAAGCATGTCGTTGCCCGGAGCACTGCAGTCGAGCGACACGGGGTTTGTTTTCGATTCCACTCAGCCTCCTCTCTCTCTGCCGCTGCAGCATGTAACCCCAACGCTTGCCGGGCGGTCGGCCGGGGCCTGCAACCCAAGGGGGTCCGGGTGAAGGAGACGGCGGATTTCAAGGTCTACACGAAAGGAGCCGGCAGTGGTGAACTCAAAGTCACAATAAAGGGCCCGAGTAAGTCTTAACTTTTACCTCACTAACTTTTTAAAAGAGGGATTGTGGGGAGGGATTGTTGCTCAATGGAAGAGCCTCCGCTTGGCATGCAGAGGATACCGGGTTCAATCCCGGGCATCTCCAGTTAGAAGGACCAGGCAGCAGGTGACGTCAAAGACCTCTGCCCGGGGACTCTGAAGAGCCTCTTCCAGTCTGAGTAGACCAGGGTCCCCAGCCTTTTTGAGCCTGCAGGCACCATTGTAATTTGGTGTGGTGGTTAAGTGTGCGGACTCTAATCTGGGAGAACCGGGTTTGATTTCCCACTCCTCCACTTGCAGCTGCTGGATGACCTTGGGCAAGCCGTAGTTCTGATAAGAGCTGTTCTTGAAAAAGAGCCGTTTCTGTCAGGGCTCTCTCAGCCCCACCCACCTCCCAGGGGGTCTGTTGTGAGGAGGGGAAGGGAAAGGAGTTTGTAAGCTGCTCTGAGATTCCTTCAGGTAGTGAAGGGTGGGGTATAAATCCAATCTCCTCTTCTTCTTTTACCTCACAGGGTGTCTGTGGTGGGGAGGGGAAGGGAAAGCAGTTTGTAAGCCGCTCTGAGACACCTTTGGGTAGTGAAGGGCGGGGTATAAATCCAATCTCCTCTTCTTCTTTTACCTCACAGGGTGTCTGTGGTGGGGAGGGGAAGGGAAAGCAGTTTGTAAGCCGCTCTGAGACACCTTTGGGTAGTGAAGGGCGGGGTATAAATCCAATCTCCTCTTCTTCTTTTACCTCACAGGGTGTCTGTGGTGGGGAGGGGAAGGGAAAGCAGTTTGTAAGCCGCTCTGAGACACCTTTGGGTAGTGAAGGGCGGGGTATAAATCCAATCTCCTCTTCTTCTTTTACCTCACAGGGTGTCTGTGGTGGGGAGGGGAAGGGAAAGCAGTTTGTAAGCCGCTCTGAGACACCTTTGGGTAGTGAAGGGCGGGGTATAAATCCAATCTCCTCTTCTTCTTTTACCTCACAGGGTGTCTGTGGTGGGGAGGGGAAGGGAAAGCAGTTTGTAAGCCGCTCTGAGACACCTTTGGGTAGTGAAGGGCGGGGTATAAATCCAATCTCCTCTTCTTCTTTTACCTCACAGGGTGTCTGTGGTGGGGAGGGGAAGGGAAAGCAGTTTGTAAGCCGCTCTGAGACACCTTTGGGTAGTGAAGGGCGGGGTATAAATCCAATCTCCTCTTCTTCTTTTACCTCACAGGGTGTCTGTGGTGGGGAGGGGAAGGGAAAGCAGTTTGTAAGCCGCTCTGAGACACCTTTGGGTAGTGAAGGGCGGGGTATAAATCCAATCTCCTCTTCTTCTTTTACCTCACAGGGTGTCTGTGGTGGGGAGGGGAAGGGAAAGCAGTTTGTAAGCCGCTCTGAGACACCTTTGGGTAGTGAAGGGCGGGGTATAAATCCAATCTCCTCTTCTTCTTTTACCTCACAGGGTGTCTGTGGTGGGGAGGGGAAGGGAAAGCAGTTTGTAAGCCGCTCTGAGACACCTTTGGGTAGTGAAGGGCGGGGTATAAATCCAATCTCCTCTTCTTCTTTTACCTCACAGGGTGTCTGTGGTGGGGAGGGGAAGGGAAAGCAGTTTGTAAGCCGCTCTGAGACACCTTTGGGTAGTGAAGGGCGGGGTATAAATCCAATCTCCTCTTCTTCTTTTACCTCACAGGGTGTCTGTGGTGGGGAGGGGAAGGGAAAGGAGTTTGTAAGCTGCTCTGAGATTCCTTCAGGTAGTGAAGGGTGGGGTATAAATCCAATATCTTCTCTTCTTCTTTTTGCACAAATGTTTTGCAGTGGTTTGGGTGCCAGCCTAGTATTTGGATGGGATATCTCCAAGAAATTCCAGGGTTGTGGAGGCAAGGCACAGCTGAACATTTCTTGCCTTGAAAATCCTAAGTCAGCCATCACTTGATGGCACTTGCCGCCGCCACCACTGTGGGGTTTTCCCTCCGTTTCTGTCAGTCTTTTCCTTTGTGTATCAATCCAATCTATTCTCTCTCGTCTCATTCCCTCATTTTCTGCCTGAAATGTTGAAGTCTTACTACTAGAATTAATGCATAACTTGACCTTGGGCAAGCCGTTGCTCTGATAAGAGATGTTCTTGAAAAAGAGCAGTTTCTGTCAGAGCTCTCTCAGCCCCACCTACCTCACAGGGTGTCTGTTGTGGGGAGGGGAAGGGAAAGGAGATTGTCTCACAGTGGTGTGGGGAGGGGCAGGGAAAGGAGTTTGTAAGCTGCTCTGAGATTCCTTCAGGTACTGAAGGATGGGGTATAAATCCAATCTCTTCTCTTCTTCTTTTTGCACAATGTTTTGCAGTGGTTTGGGTGCCAGCCTAGTATGGGATATCTCCAAGAAATTCCAGGGTTCTGGAGGCAAGGCACATCTGAACATTTCTTGCCTTGAAAACCCTAAGTCAGCCATCACTTGATGGCACTTACCGCCGCCACCACTGGGGTTTTCTCTCCGTTTCTGTCTGTCTTTTCCTTTGTGTATCAATCCAATCTTTTCTCTCTCGACTCATTCCCTTATTTTCTGCCTGAAATGTTGAAGTCTTACTACTAGAATTAATGCATAACTTGACCTTGGGCAAGCCGTTGCTCTGATAAGAGATGTTCTTGAAAAAGAGCAGTTTCTGTCAGAGCTCTCTCAGCCCCACCTACCTCACAGGGTGTCTGTTGTGGGGAGGGGAAGGGAAAGGAGATTGTAAGCCACTCTGAGACACCTTTGGGTAGTGAAGGGCGGGGTATAAATCCAATCTCCTCCTCTTCTTCTAAGTCAACTCCAAAGCTTTAAGTAGCACACTTTTTGTCATTACACTGTTAAGATTCCATCTGCATGAATGACAATGAATTTGACACTATCAC